ACACGGAGCAAAATTAAACTACCCTATTCACGACAAGGAAGCCTTAGCTATAGTCGTAGCCTTCAAGGCGTGGAGGTGTTACCTTGAGGGAGCCAAGACCACAGTCTATACAGACCACTGCAGTCTCAAATACGACGCGTATCTCAGACCACAGTCTATACAGACCGCAGCCAACGCTCTCACGATGACAGGTGCGGTGGGTGGATTTCTTGGAGACCCACTTCCACTACGACATCGTCTACAAACCCGGGCTCCACAACAAAGCCGACGCGTTGAGCCGCCCCGGTTACGTAGCAGGCATCCAGCTCGACGGGATGAACCCTCTACTCGAGGACTATTCCAACATGGGTACTCGTGGATGGCGAGATAGCAACGGCAGAGAAGCAGAAGCTGTTACAGTGGGAGAAAGACTTAGCGGTAAGGAAGGGTTCAGGAAAGATTTGAGTTCCAAATTACGCCCTGCTACGGCATATCCTACTGGAGGAATTTCACGACGTACCTTACGCAGGACATTTCGAGAGTAACAAGACGTTAGCGGGCATAGCAAAGTATTACTACTGGCCTCGGATGGCAGCAGACGTGCAGCAGTTCGTCACCTCCTGCGACACGTGCCAGTGGATGAAGAGTAGCAAGCAGAAAAAGGCAGGGTTACTTCAGCCTCTACCCGTACCGGAGCAGCCATGGCAGGTCGTTAGTCTCGACTTCATCACAGGACTTCCTTCGACCTCTTGGGGACACGATTCCATCCTCGTAGTCATCGATAAGTTCTCCAAAATGGGTCACTTCATACCGACCAACGCCACAGCTACTGCTGAAGCAACTGCTCGACTCTTCTTCGACCGCATCATCACCATCCACGGCATCCCCGCTACACTCATCTCAGACAAAGACCCAAAATTCAAGAGTAAGTTCTAGAAGGAGCTTATGGGACTATTGGAGACTAAGCTTGCGATGTCTTCAGCATACCATCCCCAGACTGACGGACAGACAGAGCGACTCAATCAGGTGGTTGAACAGTTACTGCGCACAGCTTGCAAAGACGACATCAGCCACTGGGACACACAGTTACCGACCTTAGAGTTCGCTTAAAACAAAGCCTCGCATGCAGCCACAGGGAAAACTCCTTTCTTCCTGTGTTACGGACGGGAACCACTCACTCCACAGCAGCCAACCACACCGGCACACGTCCAAGCCGCACACGACTTCGTCACCACCATGCAGCAGCTATGGGAGAATACTCAATAACGTCTCACCACGATGCAGAACTCCCAGAAGCAGTATGCCGATCGTCAGCGACGAGATCACTCAGTAGCAGTCGGAGATCAGGTGCTTCTTGACACGCGCAACTTGAACCTGTCTCACCTCCCATCCAAACTCCGGCCTCGCTTCTGTGGTCCATTTCTCGTGGAGGCACAGGTGACACCAGTTACATTCCGCTTGCGCTTACCAGATACGTGGAAGCTTCACAACGCTTTCCATGTTCAGCTACTGAAACCCTACAAGGACCCCAACCAACAGTTTCAAGGACGGCAGCTATCGCCACCACCACCTGCTCTTGTGCAGGATTAACCAGAGTATGAGGTCGAGCGCGTTCTCACTCATCGCCGACGCGGCGGCAAGACCCTCGAGTTCCTGATACGCTGGAAGGGATATGACCCCACTGAGGACAGTTGGGTTGCAGAAGCTGATATGGGCAACGCACGCCGTGCTCTCAAGGACTATCTTGTCAATCAGAGTGTATCTCACGCCACCCAGCTTTGAGGGGGGGACGTGTGAGAGTACGACGGCTTATGCTTGTTATTCATGCTTGCTATTATTTCCTTACGCTATTCCTAGCTTAGGTTTATTTTATTCCTGCATGCATGAATTGCTTGATTCCTTAGGTTTATTGCTTTACTATAGTTATTGTAGTTATAGGCACCGAACCAGGTTACGTGTACCGAACTCAAGCTATTCGGTTGCCACCGAATTGCTTTCTACCGAATTCGGGAAGGGTCTGTTCGGGACGCTTCGCGACCCTCGGAACCCTTGCAAAACACCTGGTTACCTGCCTTGTGTCGAGCCTATATATAGCCTCGCTTTGTACCCAGGTGACACATTCAATTCAAACTCTCTTTTCTGAGCTTGATCCTAGATCCTCACACAGGCGGTGGCTGAGACGACGGAGACGGCGGAGCGAAGAACAGTCGCATCGGTGCAGTGCCACCAGCACCAGCAGCTCCAGCACCCCCAGCAGCTCCAGCACCCCCGGCAGCTCCAGCACCCCCAGCGCCAGTACTTCCAGAACCAGCGCCACCAGCAGCAGCACCCCCAGAACCGGTACCTCCAGTCCCAGGGTCACCAACCTCAATGTCTCCAGCAGCAGCACCCCCAGAACCGGTACCTCCAGTCCCAGGGTCTCCAACCTCAGTGTCTCCAGCAGCAGCACCCCCAGAACCAGCACCTCCAGTCCCAGGGTCTCCAGCCGCAGTGTCTCCAGCAGCAGCACCCCCAGACGCAGCACCTCCAGCCCCAGCAGCTCTAGTACCTCCAGTACGAGCACCTCCGGGACCAACGACTCCAGCGCCTCCAAAAGACAAAGTACCAGCAACACTCCTAGCTCCAGCGACGTCAGCAGAAGTACCTCCAGTAGCAGAGCCCCGAGCTCCAGCAGCGCGACCCTGACGGCGACCGTACCACTCGTGCAGCTGCTGTGAGGTGAGAGGCACACGCGAACGAAGGCGGCCACTCCAAGGAGACCGCGCACCAGCAGTCGCAGTACCCTCAGGCGCCGCACCCTCAGACTCAGCACCCCCAAGCCCCTCAGACGCAGGCTCAGCACCCCCAGACACAGCACCCCCAGGCGGAGTACCTCCAGGCCCCTCACGCTCAGGCTCAGCACCCTCTGACTCGGCACCCCCAAGCTCAGCACCTCCAGGCTCCTCACGCTCAGGCACAGCACCCCCAGACTCCGCACCCCTAGGCTCAGCACCCCCAGGCTCCTCTCGCTCAGGCTCCGCACCCCCAGGCTCAGCACCCCACAGCACCCCGAGCAGGACCACCCCCAGCAGGGCCTAAGTCACCAGTGACCTCAACAGGCGCAGGCACAGGAGGATCTACCTGAGAAACACCTGAAGGAGCAGGACCTGGCGCGGGGAGGGGGTCTACCTGGGAAGGACCTGGAGCGAGAAAGAGCGGCGGGGGGGGGGAGGGGTAGTGCGGTAGGGAAAGAGACGGTAAAAGGGAACTGACTCGTCCTGAGACACAAAGACACGGCGCGAGGTGGGGTCGTAAAACTGCCAGCCAGGCGCGTCAGGAGGAAAACCAAGGAAGACACAGGGAATGGCGCGAGCAGAGAGCTTGTCCGCGGTGAGATCGCGGACAAAGGCACGAGCACCCCAGACCCGGAAACCCAACGCATCGCCGACCTCCCCCGTCCACAGCAGTGTGGGTGAGGTCTCCGGCAAGGAGACACGGGGCCAGAGGTTGAGCTGATGCGCGGTGTACCGGACCGCAAACGGCCACAGAAAATGGGGAGCTGCCGCATGGATCATGGAGGTACGAGTGACCTCCATGACTAAGCCAATGCGGCGCTCAGCAACCCCATTCTGCTGCAGAGAGGCCGGAAGCGTGAACGTCTGGCGGATGCCGTGCTCCGCACAGAAGGCTGCCAAGAGGTCGGAGGAGAACTCACCACCTCTGTCAGAGTGCAGATGCAGGACAGGAAAGTCCCCCTCGAACCGCTCGCGGAGCTGGAGACGAACAGCGCGGATCTAAGAAGAGATCAAAACATCAGGGACGTCCCCCTTGCGCTGCAAGGGGAAGACCGTGGTGTAACTCGTGTAGTCGTCGACAACCAGCAGGAAGTACCGCTCGTGGCCCTGTCCCTGGACGCAGGCTGGGCCCCACACGTCCAGGTGGAGAGTCTGCAGCGGAGCCTCTGTGGGAGGGAACGAGGAGGAGTGAGGAGTGGCGCGCTGCCGCCCCTCGACGCAAGGAATGCAGGGCGGCGCAGGCGAGGGAGGGAGGGCAGGCAGAGACCTGGGAAGACCAGAGACCAGGGAGCGAGAGTGCATGCCACGAAGGCGAGGCAGGGAGGGGTGACCAAGGCGGTGGTGCCTCAGGAGGGTGTCGTGGGACAGGCGGCGACACTCACACTGGGTAGCTACCTGAGCAGACGCGTACAGCTGTGGAGACAAAGGGGTGTAGCGTGAAACAGTGGTGAGGGTGTACAGACTGGACCCAGGCTCACGAGTGAACGTGGCCAGGTGGCGGCCAGTCTTGGAGCACGTGAAAGACGGCGTTGCTCACCAGGTTGTAGAGAACGAGGGGATGTGGAGACCTGACAGCTCACCAGACGGGACCGCCGGGCACGGAAGCACAGTCGTGGCTCGTGCAAGCACTGGGCCCCCAGAGGGGTCAGCCAGCGAGATAGGGACAGGTGCGCAGGGAGGGGAGTGACGGTGGTGCTATCGCGAAAGAAACAGCGGGAAAACCCAGAGTCAAGTGTAAACGTGTGCAAGACCTAAGCCGACGCAGTACCAGGGGGAGCAGACTCACTGGCACCTAGGGCTGCAGCCCCTATACCTGGATCAGGCGGCATACACAAGTAGCAGTCACCCTCAGCAGCCTCAATGCATACATTGCAGCAAGAATAGCATCATAGTCAAGATCAAAGATAGGAACACCACGCCTAAGCAGGTCTGCCCAATTGCCTCAGGAAACTTGACGCGCCAGGCGTCACTAAGCCGAGCAAAGCAGCGATACTCAGTGTGCAGGCCATTGCATGGGCGACCAGCGCGGGGACCTGCACAAATGGTGTAGGTGCAGTGAACAGGACCCCCAGACACCCCACGCCCCGCATACCAGTCATGGAGCTACTGGGACGAGGGGGCCTGGCACTGCTGCTGCTGCTGCTGCTGCGGTTGCTGCTGCTGCTGCTGCTGCGGCTGCTGCTGCTGCTGCTGCTGCTGCTGCTGCTGCTGCTGCTGCTGCTGCTGCTGCTGCTGCTGCTGCTGTCCCTAGCCACTACTGCCGCCACCGGCACTGGGTCCACCCCCACTACCGTCGCTGCCACCGCCACTGCTCCCGGTTCCGCCGCTGCCCCCACCACCTCCATCACCGCCTCTACCACCTCCTCCACCCCCACCTCCTCCACCTCCCCCGCCACCACCACCACCGCCCCCTCCACCGCCACCTCCACCTCCCCTGCCAGCCCCTCTGCCCCGGGTGCTGCGGCGCTTCGCACTGGGAGCGGAAGCGGCCCCAACCTCCTCAGCACCAAGGAAGTCGACAGCAGCAGCAGCAGAGGCGTGGGAGGGGGTAAGGGGGGAGGGGGAGCACCCTTCAAAGAGGGGAGTGCGAGGAGTGCCACGAGCCGCACCCACAGCAAGGATGTTCTTCTCAGCTGCGAGAAGCTGCATCTCGAAGTCGTCGATGGTGAGAGCGGTCTGGTCTAGAGCAAGAAAGTGGTCCCTGACCGAGCGAAGGGTGTCAGGGAGCCGGGTGACGAGGAAGTAGAGCGTAAAGTACATCGGAGGGGTGTTCTTGGCGAGGAACTCATCCTTCAGGGCGGAACGAAAGCGAGTGTCACTAGCGCGCAGGTGAGAGATGAGGTCCTCAGCAGTGTGAAACGAGGACAGGTCAAGGAACAAGTAGGGAAGCATCAGCCGACCTAGGGCTGCAGTGGTCGGGGAGGAGTAGCACGCAACTACAGCGTCATACAGCGCCTTAGCAGTCTTGTGCTGGCTAAAATGCGCGCGCTCGGGGATCGGCAGATGATTGCGAATATCGAGGCGTGCAGCAGCATCGCGAGCCTGCCATTGTGAGACGTCTAGCACAGAAGCATCGGCAGCAGGAGCAGGGGCAGTGCCAGACACGTGAGCGAATAGGGAAACGCCACCTTTGGCATCAGTCATAAGAAACAGTTGGAGATCGTCGAGCCACCCTGTGAACTCGATCGGGATACCGTCAGGCTCAAACGCAGAATATGAGGCGTCGTCATAATCGCAGTGCAGAGGAATGCATCAGGCAAAGGCAGTAGGTGAAGTCAGTAGGCAGAGGCAGCGCACGCAGCGCACGGGGGAGCAGCAAGCCGTGGGCAGGCTGCAGCGGCGCGGCGCAAGCAGGTAGGGCGGCGCGCGGGGCTGCGGTGGGCCGCGCGCAGGCGGCTAAGGCGCGGCGCGACTGCGCGGGGCAGGAGTTGTCAACGGGAGTTGTGCTCGGCCCCGTCCTCGCTTGGGCGGAGCCGACCTCGTGGTCGGGTGCACGGGGGACATGCATCCGACCTGTGGCAGTGGGCACGGGGGCCACTGCAAGGGCGTTGTGTTGGGGGGCGCCTGGCTGGAGGGCGCCGAGCAGGTGGACGCCGTCCTGGGCGCTTGGAAGGCGTCCTGGGCGTCTGCTCGGCGTCCTGGGCGCCTGGACGCCGTCCTGGGCGTCTGCTCAGCGACCTGGGCGCCTGGACGCCGTCCTGGGCGCTTGCTCGGCGTCCCGGGCGCTTGGACACCGACTTGGGTGCCTGGGCACCAACTGGAGCCTCTGCTTGGCGACCTGGGAAGTGGGACGCCGACCTGGGAATCTGCTCGGCGTCCCGGGCGCCTAGACGTCGACTTAGGTGCCTGGACTGCGTCCTGGACGAGTGGACGCCGACCTGGACGCCAGGACGCCGACCTGGGGACGCCGGGATTGATGTAACCGGCGTCCGACTGGGCTGGACGACCAGGCGGGGTTGCCCGGTCGACCGGGATACCCGGGCGACGTGTGCGAAGGTCGTCGAGGTAGTTTCTGCGAGGACGACCTCGGGGGTGGTATCCCGAGGTCGACGTGGTTGATGGGCGCCGTCACGAACCGGAATGTCTTCGCTGGGCACGTGACGGGACATTGGGCGCCAACTAGCCGCACAAACCTGCGAAGCAGGTGCACCGTTGTCCTGCGGGTGCAACGCTGTGCAGCCGACTTGCTGCAGCGTTGGCACACCGTGGACATGCAACGTTGGCGCGCCGCATCTCTGCCGCGCTGGAGCGGTGCGAGCATTGCTGCGCTGGAACGCGGTCGACCGTGCTGCGCTGGAGGTCAACTAGCAGCCTAGCTAGCTCTGATGTAGTCTGTTGAGCCAACGTTGTTGCTATCATTGTTGTCAATCTTTGCTAGTGGAACTCTTGCAAAATCTCCCCGTGAATGTGCAAGCAGAGAACACACGAGCAAACGACTAAGTGAACGAACGCAGAGATCCCTCTCACGCACGTGCCTTCCCCGTAGTCAAGCTCCCGTTGCTAGAGTTATCTCCGCACGGTGCGGTGAGCGTGGACGACACCGCGACGTCACCTTCGATTTAGCCGACTTAGCACGTACCTCGCTTGTTTGTGGGCCGGCAGCCGTGCGGTAGTCACCATGGTAGGCGCCGTAGGTGACACGGGGGTGGTGGACACCCTGGAGGCACGGCTGGAGACCACGAGGAGACGCCATGAGGCGAAGGAGTTCGACGACATACCCTGGGCGGTCGTCGACGCTGGCATTCGCTCCGTGTGGGCGTCGGACCACCCTCCTTCTCGGCCTGCATCTCCTCGACCGGTGAACACCGAAGGCGGCGTCGACGTGGGCGTCAACGCCGGTGGTGACCAAGTCGGCAGCAGTGCGGGAGGCACGTCGTCGAGGCAGCGTGGTGTGATACACGCCGACGAAGTCGGCGGCGTTCAGGCGCGAGGGATGCAGTCGTCGGCGGCTGCAGGGGCCTCGCAGGACGACGCCGGAGGTCGACGAAGCAGATTGACGCCGATGTCGGCGTCACACGTGACGGCAGGAGGGATTGCGCCGAGCTACGGCTACTTCAAGTTTACGCCGGACAGGATTCAGGTCACCCCCCTGCTGGTCGGTCGGCCGGACATCCTCACCTGGAAGGAGGCGATCGAGCCTCAGCTGGAGATGGCCGGGTTGATCGGCTTCGCTCGCGGGACCGGGGCGACGCCGGAGGAGATCTACCCCGACTTGCGTGCGGAGTTTCGCGCCGTGCAGCTGCTGACCTTCACGGTCATATCGCGGTGCTGCTCGCCGGGAGTGCAGATCGCCTTGAAGCCGTGCAGGGAGTACCTGGACGCCGGCCACCGGGCATGGCACTTCATAGAGACGACGTACCAGGTCATCGACGACCTGTACATCGGCCAGCTCGAGGAGCAGATGACGCACCTGCGGATGGGCGAGCAGGAGACGGCGACGGACTACTGCAACCGGGCACGGCGACTTCTCGCCACCATGAGGATGGCCGGCGTGCAGTATTCCACGGCGTCGTATGTCACGCACGTCCTGAAGGGGCTCCCGAGCAGCTACAACCTGCTGAAGCGGCTGTCAGTGGCGCCGAGCACGCGGGCGACGCTCAACGAGGATTCCCTTACCTCGTACATCCTGCAGGACGAGGCGATGCAGGAGGCCAAGAAGTCCACGGAGCTCCTGCTGCAGGCAAACTACGCCGCCCCGGCGAAGCAAGGTAGCCGACCAGGGCAGCGCGGTAAGCCTGGCAGCGGTGGTAGCGGAGGTGGGAAGCCGGCCAAGGACGCCGACAAGGGTAAGTCGGCGAAGGAAGGCGGTCGCGGAGGGTGAAGTCGGCGTCTGGATCTGCCATAGCCCCAACCACCTCTCCTTTGAGTATCCCGACTGCAGCGAGTCCGACGACGACGACGCGAAGGGAGGCCGCGGGAGGTCGGCCAGCCGTCGTCCATATCGAGGAAACCAGCCGCGCAAGGAGAAGCAGTCGAACAAGTCGACCTCGGCGAAGGACGCCGACTCCTCCGATAGCGGCAAGGGGCGAGGCGACGGGGAGGCGTCGTGCTCGCTGGTCGGCGTCGTGGAGCCGACCGTCTCGCTGGCGCCGGAGGCCGGTGAGGATTTCCAGGCGTTGGCAGCAGCCGTGCAGTCGAACCCGGTGGTGGTCCTGCTGGACAGCGGCTGCTCGCACCACCTGATGGGGACGAAGGAGGTCTTCGTCGACATGGGGCCGAGCGGCGACGTTAAACACGTGCGCGGCTTCAATGGGGCGTTGCAGGACGTCAAGGGACGGGGCACGGTTGCGCTGCAAGGTGTTATAGTCACAGTAGGCTTCAATGTGCCTAAAACAAAAGATAGAGTGCACAGTCGGATTTCTGCACAGCGGCTTTAAACGATCATAGCGATCTGGTCACAGCTCCAAACGACCTCATTCAACTTGGATCTGGAGCGCCTTAACGTCGCCTACAATAGGCAATTTAGATCGCACGATTTCATAAAGAATTGACGACACAGCGTATGTTTGAGCAAACGGCACTATGGCAGCAACATAGTCTTAGGAACACAATTACGAACAACTAGGAAGAGTTACGAGTTGGGAAGGACTCCCAGCTCCTACAAACCCCAAGAGCCGAGGTACAGTGATGTGGAACAGTGCCACACTGTCCCCAACCAAGAAGGGTCTCGAAACTACCCTCCACAAGGGCCTACACCCATAGAAATGTTACACTACAAATTGTAATGTAACTATCTTCAATATCTTGAGGTGTACCCTTTTGGCCAGCTTCGAAATCACTTGAAGCTTGCAACCAAGGCTCGGGTTCTTCATCACAAACTCAACCTTGAGTTCTTGATGGGTCTGCTGCACACACCTGCGACACGCCGAACGTTCGACACAGGACAAAATAGAAACCGCGCACGGGACACACGACAAAATAGAAACCGCGCGCGAGACACAAATGACCGCATTAACACGCGGCTAGCGATAACTCGCTATTGACTCGACACACACACTCAACATCATGACCCATCATTCACACACCATTATAAGCATGAAATATATATATTTATTTCATGCACTCATACCACTCCATGCACACACGTATCCACGCACACGCACACGGACAACAAGCCGAGTGCAAACCGTAGGGTTGCACCAACAAACTCCCCCTCGGGTTGTTGGCCTTAGGATCTTGCTCTCTCAGTTCAGAGCCATCCCAGCCAGCTTGCAACACTTCCAATGCTGCTGCTCCACCAGCCTTTTGGTCATCATGTCCGCTGGCTGCCCCGTCGTCTTCACGTAGCGCAGCTCAACTTCACCCGCGGCCACCATGCTCCTCGTCCAGTGCCACTTCACCCTCATGTGCTTTGTCAGGCCGTGCAACACAGGGTTCTTGGCTAGAGCAATGGCTCCCTGGCTGTCACAATAGAGTGGGGTAGGTCCTTGCTGCTCCTCCCCCAATTCAGCCAGCAAACGCCGCTGCCACACAATCTCCCGTACGGCACGGAAGAGTGCCATGTACTCGGACTCCACCGAGCTCAATGCTTGGTCCACCTGCTTCTTGCTCTCCCAAGCAGTTGGGCCTCCATAACACAGCAAATGAACCCTCCAACACTTGTCATGTCCTCTGGTTCCGATGCATAAGAAGCATCCGAATAGGCGGTGAGGAACAAACGCCCGGGTTCCACACCATCCGCGCCCTTTTGGCGCCTTTGTGCCGCTGCCGAGTATTGCAGCCCAACGGTCGGTGTTTGGCCAAGGTACTTGGCCACCCTCATTCCAGCTGCTACCTCTTCCTCATTAGGGCATTGCACCACCCTAGCCAGCTGCCCGGTAGCAAATGCAACATCCGGTCGTGTGTTGACCGCCGCATACATGAGGCTGCCCACCAATGAATGAAAACGGCGCCTCTCCTCTTCACCCACGCTCTCCTCCTCTGGTCCCTTCACACACTTGAACCCAGAGGGAAAGGGTGTAGCCACATGGCCTTCATTCTGCCCAAAGTTGGCAGCCAAGGCCTCCAGGTACTTCCGTTGGTGCACCCGCATGCACCGCTTCTCCACATCACGCTCGATGTGAAGCCCGAGGTAGAAGTTTACGTCCCCAAGGGACTTGCACTTGAACTTGTCTTGCAGCTTCAGCATCACCTCCTTCACAAGG